TCTACCCTCCCAGTATCGCCACTCACACCACTGGTCCTGTAGGGCTCATCTGCCCTGGATTCCCTGGATTTCCAGTTCCTATCTGCATATGTGAGCCAGAAATAGTTGTATATATGTCTATATAAATTTCAATTTATATTTTGTTAGGAGCAAAAGTACTACAGTATCTATTTTAAGATTAATATTCCAGTGTTCACATGAAATATTTATTATACAGCAGAACTGTGCATTCCGCTTAGCAATTCTATCGTTTGTGTTATTTTATGAAATTAAATCTTGTTTCTGAGAAGAGAAGGCGATCTCACGGTAAAATGCTGGTGGCAGCAGAATCAGTGTGCTATTCTTAGCTATTATTTAGAGATGTCAGTGTACTTCCTCACAGTGACTGCTGTGTGCTCTGGTCTCTAGTAATGTTTCTATCTTGGTGTGTCTTGCAGGCTGTTCAAGGGACTGGCTTAGCATTCATTGCCTTTACAGAAGCGATGACCCATTTCCCTGCATCTCCATTCTGGTCCGTGATGTTCTTTCTTATGCTGATAAATCTAGGGCTTGGCAGCATGTTTGGGACCATTGAAGGGATCATCACGCCCATTGTGGACACGTTCAAAGTGAGGAAAGAAATTCTTACTGGTGAGGTTTTATTTGTTTGACATTTTATTGGATGAATGTAGGACATTTTAATCATAGTGATTAGGGGGGATGGGGGAGTGTATTTTAGTTGTTTTGAAAATGCCAATATTACGAATTACAGGCACTAGAGTAAAGTCAGAATGCTCTTGCATTATTTTTATACAAATCAAAGTAACTATAAGTAAAGCAGTCAGGTCACATATTCCTTTTTCCGAAAAAGCACATAGCTGGCATTGATACGCCTAAATGTATCGCTATGCAAGGCATCCACCAGCAGGTTGTAAGGTCTCAGTTTTGCAGTGTATCATCGTGAGGTTGAGGGAAGTAAAGGGTAATAGGAAATTTACAGAAGAGATACATAAAAATTTAAGAGAACCTTTTCTCTAAAAACAATAGTATTAATAACTAAAGTTATTAGATAAGAGTAGTACAAGAGGACTTTAAATTTTTTTAATGGAAAAAAGGAGTGACAAGCTAGAAATAAAAAATATGCACTTAATATTTTAACATAAGTCTCATCCAGTTCAAGACACTTTTGTAAGTAACAGTACCAGCCCTTTAGCCCATGCCTGAGAACTGAGGGTCTGAATTTAACCATGTCATGCAGTCTTCCTTAATTATCAACTGAAGGAAAAATGGATGCCCTTTATAGATGTTTTAAGTGTAGGGAACAATAAGAAGTCAGAATGTGTCAACTCAGGATTGTAAGATGGATGCCTCAGGATATGCCATTGAAATTGCCACAAAATCACCTTGTTTTATAATAGGAATTAGCTGGAATATTGTAGTGAAGGACTCTCTCTGATGAAGCTTCCCCGCACATTTTCTGCTAACAGTTTGGAGAACCTTCCTAAAGCATGTTAATAAGCAGATGTCATCATTCTTTGGCCTTGCAGAAAATCAACAAGCAAACTGTCTGGACCATCTCAAAAGACTCTTTCTATGATCTTGCCCTTGACAGTGTGCTTTACTGCAGCTGGCCCGCTTGCCCTTCTTGGCAGAGTAGTGCAGCTCGTGTGAGAGAATTGTGAACTCTATAGCTGCACAATAAACTTGCTCCTGTTTCAGTTTTAGAAGCATTCACGTTGTTCCAAGAGCGGCTGCCCTCACACTAATATCTTTCCTACTCCCTCAAACTAGGCTCTGTTTAGATACAAGTCAATACAAATTTTATCTTGGTGAAAAGTTTTTTTTGTGACCCATGAAGTTTTTTCATAAAATACATTTCCTTCGAACTTTTTGATGAACCCTTATATGTATGAAATACCCGGTCACATGTATGTTGGAAGAGAGCATAATAGAAAGTGGACATGTTATACCAATTGAAAAGAAGCCAACGTTGGGACACTCGCAGCAAGGGATGGAAACTGAACTGGAAAGGGGCGGGTCTTTTTAAAGAGTGAGAGGATGACTTTAGTAACTACAACGAATGAGAAATCAAGGCATCAGTAAGGAAGTGAGCCTCACTGTGGGCAGTAGTCCAAGAACGTGATTGGTTCTTGCTGAGAAGTGACCCTGTCTGAAAGGAATAAAACGCTCCCCAGTTCTGTGCCATCTTCACGTCCATTGTTATGTGTGAGGCCAGTGTTGCAACGGTGACAGTCATGTCATTGAGGATCTTCCTCATTTTAATGACCCTCCACTTTACCAAGAAAGAGGCCCTAAACCAAAGATTATTCCCTCCAGATAACTTGTCCAAATTCCATGAAATGAAGTCTCACCATTCCATCTCTCTAAGGGTCACTGTGAGTCAGAACCCACTGACAGCGCCTGACAACACAAGCCAGTACTGGGCCTATTGAGCTGATTCTGACGCAGAGAGACCCGTTTTGGGCTTCTAAGGCTGTAAATCTTCCGTGGAGCCGATAATCTCATCTTTCTTCCAAGGAGTGGCTGGTGACTTTGAACCACCACCCTTGCAGTTAGTAGGCCAATGCTTACCCAACAGTGCTAGTGTGGAATGGGAAATAAGGTTGGATAAAAAATATTAGGAGGTCTTAAATGCTGGTCAGTGGCACATATGTTTCCCAAGATTCTGATTTTTAGGCCTTAAAACAGTGGTTCTCAACCTTCCTCATGCCGTGACCCTTTAGTACAGTTCCTCATGTTGTGGTGACCCCCCCAACCATAAAATGATTTTCATTGATGCTTCATAATTATAATTTTGATACTGTTATGAATCGGGCGACCCCTGTGAAAGGGTCATTTGACCACCAAAGGGGTTGTAACCCACAGGTTAAGTACTGCTGCCTTAGAGGTTCAGTAATAATTCTTGTGTAAATTACTCTCAAATATATACTTTGTACTCTGTGAAATGGTGAAGCACTCAGCTGCTAATTGTGTGGCCAACAATTCAAACCAACCAGCCACTCTGCAGGGGAAAAGACTTGGCAGGATCCTCTCATCAAGATGACAGTCTAGAACAGTGATCTAAGCACTGAGGGAGGACTTGAGTGGAGGCCCAATGTTCATCTGCGACCCTAATACTAAACCTATAAATATATGCACATAGATCTATTTCCCCAGCATCATATATAAATATATTTACATATGTACATGCCTGTATTTAGGCCTCTATATATGCCCTTTGCCTCCTAGCTCTTTCCTCTATTTCC